TTTATTAACGTAAGTCATACTAAACTTTTAAACCCCGACACTCCAAAAAACAAACCTTGGTACATTTCTCAAATCAACCCTTACTTACATCTCTCTTACAGAAATTAACTTTATTAACGTAAGTCAAACTAACCTTTTAAACCCCGACACTCCAAAAAACAAACCTTGGTACATTTCTCAAATCAACCCTTACTTACATCTCTCTTACAGAAATTAACTTTATTAACGTAAGTCAAACTAACCTTTTAAACCCCGACACTTCAAAAAACAAACCTTGGTACATTTCTCAAATCAACCCTTACTTACATCTCTCTTACAGAAATTAACTTTATTAACGTAAGTCAAACTAACCTTTTAAACCCCGACACTCCAAAAAACAAACCTTGGTACATTTCTCAAATCAACCCTTACTTACATCTCTCTTACCGAAATTAACTTTATTAACGTAGGTCAACCTTTCGCACAAACTTTAATGAATAGGAAATTCCAAGCAAAAATATACAAATCCTCGGCGTATTTCTCAAATAATCACTTGCTTTAGATAAATAACTACAGTTTAAATAGCTGCCTGTTCCTTGAGCAACGGGACGATGATAATAATCAAGTTAGATGTTAATAATCACCGTTGATAAAGGAACATAAAACGGCTGTTACAATCACAAATATCTCCTGTATTAACAACTGTTTAGAAAGATTTTAACGAATTGCTCAATCCATGTCAGGCAACCTTCCCGTATCGTTTTAATTTTAAATCATTTTATTTTAGGCGACAACATATATTTTACCGATTCAACCGTCAAGAAGGCCGTTTCAGATCTGGGTATTAGCTATCAGTATAGTCTGTGGTTTATTATTACTGTATCTACTATCACTGTTATTATGGAAGGTAAGCATGTACAGTCGCGTATTGAAGGGGGAGGGGGTGAGTGGGGGTGGGGGGGCTATTGTACCAACCCCCCCCCCCCCCTCGGGCCATGAAAAATGAAAAATGTATTCTACTTTAACTTCTAAAATCGCGTTAAATGTATTAATTCTCCGGGTTTCCACATTATGACAAGTGCCCTCTAATATCCACAAAGCTCGGATTGTTAAAAGTGATACGGGTGTTCAAATCAGCTCTGTTTATCTTGAAAATTATCTTCTAATTTCAGTGTGGATTTTTCAAGCGGAAGAGACGCGAGGAGCTCCAAAAACTGATAAAAGCTGCGGAAACGGAACGAATCGCCAACTTAACGTCGCATTCCGTCAGTGACGTCAACGACGTTATGATTTTACCGCCAAATAATAATATTTTCATGTCCATGGAAACCACAACTTTTACACATTTAAATAATCACAACAATCACTGGCCGCAGCCGCCTGCGTTTAGTAACGATACGTATTTACAGCCTATCAATATAAATTCCTGATATCTCTTTTATTGTCTTCTTCCGAACGATTCCATTTTTGACTCGTTTGAGTCGTAAACGATGAGGCATTTTCATGAGGTCTCAGTGTTATGAGCTTGGTTTTAGCTAGAAAAGTTTAGCTGTTTGTTAAGAAGTTGCAAGAACGAAGAGGAAAGGTTTGTCGAATTCCTAACAGAGTTGTAGAGGGCTAGCTAGTTGACGGGTGTTACCAGAAAGTATTTATTAGTCGGTGCTATCATTATTTATATTAGACTCGTATTTTGTCACGAGTTGCCTTAATTTGATATTTTGTATTTTTCACTGCATGTTTATATGCTTTAAGATTTAAAGGGAGATAACACGGTTTTAATAGGTTTTAATATCTTCTATTGGCACTCCTCTGTGATGCAAGAAATTCTCGAAACTTTAACTTGCTGCCATACAATTACACAGTAAAATAACTTTATTATTCTGTCTCTTCACAATGCCAATCTATTACGAACTTTGTTCTTATACCTTGACTACAATAGTCACCTTTCTTGTATCTCATCTTCACAATGTCAATTTATTAGGAACTTTATCTTATACCTTGACTTCAATAGCCACCTTTCTTGTATCTCATCTTCACAATGTCAATTTATTAGGAACTTTACCTTATACCTTGACTTCAATAACCACCTTTCTGTGGTGCAGCTATTTGATCGGATTGTACGGAAAGGAATACAGCCAATCAGAGGCTGTGAATAATACGCCGAATGTTTACAGTCTTTCTGTTGACGGCTCTGATTGGCTGCATTCGCTAGTGTACATTACAATCACATCACTGCATTCCATGAAAGAAAGGTGGTTATTGTAGTCAAGGTATAAGTAATTCTGTGAACAGTGAAAATGTTTAAATCTGTAGAATATTGATAGCTTTAATAATTTATCTTTTATGAAATAATATTGTTATTGTTATTTTTTGTTATTTTCGATATTTATATAAAATATTAGTAGAATTTTTAAAGGTATACGACCTCTTAGAATGACTAAAAAAATGAAATTTTCAAACTTGGTTAAAATGAGTCTGTGTCCATCAGTTAGACTTATCTGGTGTTAAAACTATACAACAGAATCTCTCAATAATCTAATATAACTATACAACAGAATCTCTCTATAATCTAATAAAACTATACAACAGAATCTCTCTATAATCTAATAAAACTATACAACAGAATCTCTCTATAATCTAATAAAACTATACAACAGAATCTCTCTATAATCTGATATAACTATACAACAGAATCTCTCAATAATCTAATAAAACTATACAACAGAATCTCTCTATAATCTAATATAACTATACAACAGAATCTCTCTATAATCTAATAAAACTATACAACAGAATCTCTCTATAATCTAATATAACTATACAACAGAATCTCTCTATAATCTAATAAAACTATACAACAGAATCTCTCTATAATCTAATAAAACTATACAACAGAATCTCTCTATAATCTAATAAAACTATACAACAGAATCTCTCTATAATCTAATAAAACTATACAACAGAATCTCTCTATAATCTAATAAAACTATACAACAGAGTCTCTCTATAAAAATCCATAGAACTAAATAATAATTCATTTAAACTACAGGTTATTATTGAAAAGTGCATGATATTTTTAAGCGTTTTTCACTAATTACTTAGTTTTATACATTTATTAGATTAAAGAGGGATTCTGTTGTATAGTTAAGATACCAGATAAGTCTAACTGATGAACAAAGACTAAGTTTTGACAAAGTTTATAAATTTCAATTTTTTGGTCATTCTAAGAGGTAGTCTATCTTTAATTTATCTCATTTTTATTTTCAATCTATTTCAATACACTGCCATTGTTTCAAATATTGTAACTTTATTTTGATTTTTAAATGAAATATTTTAAAACTATATCTTTGGTCAATGTTTAAAACCCTAGCAAGGTATGGTTGGTATTAGGGGGTGAGAGCCCACACCAACTCGACTCTCGACTCGACTCTCGAAAGCACTGGCACAGGCATCAGTATTGTTCTTTCCTTGAGGAGGATTCGAACCCACGGCACCTAATCGGCTAGCAGAAGACAATCTAATTCGCTACCGATTGAGCTATTCCACTGTCACTATTTTTTATATATTTTGGTCGCCATGGTTTTCCATAAATTAACCTGAACAACTCTTTAATAGAAAAGGTAGAAATAGTCATAATGACGTCATTAAAAAACATGCCGTCTTGTTTTGAAAATGGAACTTCAATATTTGTGCTCTGTTTTGTGGGAAATTAGAAGTAAACTTGTGAATTCTTTTTGAATGTGAAATTGTGTTGGAAGGAGAAGAAATTAACGTGAAATTCTACACGTACACGGACGACGAGTAAACTAGGTCAGTCTAAAAAAACACGTGCATTCACGAACTCTGTTTATGTTTTATGTTGTGAAGAATTCTGAATGAACACAAGTTTGCAAATTGACTGAAACGTTCAAGAGACAATCGTTTATATTAGAATTTAACTTTGCTACAGTAGAAGCCTCCTCTAGAGTTGGAAATGGAAAGAGTGTAGGCTAATGCCGCTGTCCTGGTAAACTTTCCATCATTGTACAGTGCATGGTGTTGTCAGTCTTCATTGGCCCACGTGGTGCAGAAAAGTAGGACGTAAAACTCCATTCATTTTATTTTGTGACAGTACATATTGAAATAAAAATAAACGAATG